AAGAGTAGAAATCAATGCCATTGTTAAGAGAACCATAACAGAGTTAAATCAATGAAGCCAAAAGTTGGTTCTTTGAACAGTTTGGTAAAATTTACATACCATTTGATAATCAGCCTCCTGATTGCCCTTGATGACTCCTGCCTCCTATATTCATAAACTCTGTAGTCCCTCCTACATGTAGGAGGGTGGCCCATATGGCCAATAGCATTTGGCAAGCATGTTGACATGCCGCCTCCAAGATTATGCTATAAAAAACTGTCTCAGGATCTCTCTCTCTCTCTGTACTTGGGTCATTTACTCTGGGGAGTGCTAGCTCCCACGTTGTACCCACGTGGCAAGGGACTGGAGCTTCCAGTCAACAGCATGTGAACGACCTTGGAAATAGGTCCTCCACCCCCCCAGTTAAATCTCTGATAGCTGCCACTGCAGATGACACCTTCATTGCAGCCTTATGAGAGATGCTGAATCAGAACCACTTAGCTACACTACTCACTGATTCCTGACCCAGAGGACTGTGAGAACATAATGTCTGGTGTTTTCATTCACTACTTATTTTAGATTTTTTGTACACTTTTCAACATGAGATTTGAAATAAAAATAGTCATTTGTAACATGAAATTCTGTAACCATTGTAGGCTAATACTTGATGTCCTAAGCGTGTTGAAAAAAATGAGAGAAGATGTTATTAGAGGATTTATGAAGGTTGTTGTTTATTCTGCATAGTTAAAAAAAGAATCAATACTGTTCCCCCCCCCACACACACACACAAGTTAGATATGATCATTCTTGTCTAGTGTATTTTTTGTAAATGGTATGAGAACTTGAGAAGACATATGATTGGGACCTTACCCTCGGTGATTCTGACTTGAGGAGTCTGGTGGGAGCCTGACCATCTGTTTCTTACAAAGCTCCACCCATAGAGTTCAGCTTGATGCCAGAGAGGGAGGAGGTCACAGATGGCCCAGTCCAGATTGCTAGGACAAAGGTCAAGTTATTGGGGGCCCAACCCAGAGCTACAATGATCTCTTTTAATGGGCAAGGCTATGCTGTTAGCTAATCACACAGAAAAGAAATGGGGAGAAGGGGGAAGGACAAGAAATGAAACAGGAAGGGTTGAGAAAAGGAGCCAGCGCTGTGGGTTCTTTGAAGAAGCCTTGAGTGGCTGTCTGCTTATGGGGATGGAATATTTGACGCTGGACATGGCAGTGGCTGGACCACATGATTGATGCAATTGTTGTCACTGAATTGCACACATGGAAAATGTCCACTTGGCATGTGTGTGCTATCTGTATGTGAACAACAAACGGGTGCTTTCATGTGCAAAGCTAACAGCACAAACCATATAAGTGATGCAAAATCTCTCACCCCCAGATCAAAGGGTTTTGACAAGCACAATAAAACTTAAGAGGGGGCTTCAAAAATGGTCATGGAAAACTCCATTATCTTTTCATTCCATTTTTTCCACCAACTTAAAAAAAAACCTCCTACATATATTACGAAATAACTACCACGGGAAGGGTATAATTCCAGCATCCCACTGTTAGCGAGTCTGAGTGGATTCTATGGCAGTAGGTTTCGTTTTTTGTTTCCTTCTCTGAAATGCCGCCCCTCACAAGCATCATGGCCAAGTGTGCCTCATTTGAGGGGGCTGCAAAAAGTTCATGGGGAAATTCTACCCTCTTTTCATTCTATTTCCATGAACTTTTGGAAGGAGCCCTGGTTGTATAGTGGGGTACAGTTTTGCAGCGAGTCAGACTGCTTCTGCAGTACTGCTAACCCCACCCTACCCCTGCCCACCCCAGCCCCTCGGAGGGAGAAGGGTGAGACTTGTTTGCTCCTGCAGAGATGTACACCCTAGGGAGCACTTCTCACCTGTCTTAGAAGGGCTCTGAGCTGGAATTGACTGGGTCGCAGTGGGTTTTATATTTCATGGTGGAACTCTGTTGAACTCATTAGCTTAAAAAAATCTTTCTGCAAACATTTTCCTTATACTTACTTTGAAAAGAAAGCTCTCTGCGTGATAATGGATGGTATGTATGTCCACTTCACTTCCAATTCCTAACAAATACCAGTTTGTCATGGTATCTTCATTCATTATGAGCCCATGGAGATTTCCAAAAATCTTCCCATTAATGGCTATGGAGGTGGGGGGAAAATAACCTTTGATTAGTCAGGGGACACAAACATTGCTTAAGTTGATTTTAGAAATGATTCAAGTTCTCCCAATTCAACAATTCACTGCCGTCAAGTCAATCAGCCTGACAAACACACACCAATCTCACTCAGATTTATCAATTTAATTATTCCGGGTCCCAAATTCAGATTCCTATACAATGAGATCCAGACAAGAAAAATGGCAGTTTATTTTTTTAGAATTATAGATTCGGTAGGAGTCCTGGTGGCTCTGTAAGTATTAGACTCTTAACCTCAAGGTCAGAAATTCTAACCCACCAGCCTCTCCTGGGGAGAGAGTTGAGGCTATCTGCACTGTAAAGAATTACAGCCTTGGAGATGCTATGTAGGGTCACTATGAGTCAGAATCAACCCAATGGCAGTGTGTTTGGCTTGCTGGCTTTGTTTGTTGTTTTTTGTTCAGCATATTCTCTCTGCGAAGTGGATTACAAACTCACTGTGAGAAAGGAGCCAGATTTATACCGTTTTATAGATGGATGTTGGGCTATTAACTGCAAGGTTGGTGGTTCGAACTCAAGAGACCGCTGAAGGAGAACACAAAGGCTGTCTGTTCTCATAAAGAGGTGCAGTGTCAGAAACCCTTGGGAGCAGTTCGACTCTGTCCTATGAAGGGCCCATATGAGTCAGGATTGACTCCATGGCAGTGGGGTTTTTTGTTTTTGTAACAGATCAGCAGAATAAGGCTCATACAAAAATTAAGTTTCTATAAATCAAAACTGAAAGGTGGTAAAGCGAGTTCCTTAATAGATCATTTTCTATTAATCACTAGTTCACGGAGTATGAGTTTGGGACCACATTCACATGTTCAGCTGCTAACCCAAAAGGTTACAGGTTCAAACCCATCAGCAGTTCTGAGGGACAAAAGACATTGATAATCTACTCCTATAAAAATTAACCAGTTAAAATTTTAATTTTAAACATTTAACTAAAGCAACAACAATGCAACACCAAACTCACTGTCATTGAGACATTTCTGAAACAGAATGATCCTGTATAGGGCTTCGGAGGCTGTAATTCTGGGAGCAGACCACCTCATTTTGCTCCCATGGAGCCACTAGTGGGCTTGAACCATAGACCTTGAGGTCAGCAGCCCAATGCCCAAACCATAGTACCGCCTGAGTCCCGTTGTAGAGATTACAGCCTGGGGGCAGTACTGCAATGACGGGTACTGAAATTGACTTGATGGCAAAACTGAAGTTTGGAAGTGCTTCCTAAGCATGGCTGACTCTTATCTCCAAAGAGAAGCAAAGCTTCCCTGGGCTGAGTCCAGGACCTAACAATGACCAGAGCAAGGCTGGCTTTCTTGGGCGCCGCTTTTAGCCTTCCTCTTCCTACTGACTTTATGCTGTACTGTATGTACATCATGATCCCGCCAAGTGATATCACCTGCAGGGCAACGCTCATTTAAAATCGAGCTTTACTGAGCTTTGGCGAGAGGGAAGCAAAACTGGTAAGGGGGAAAGTAGCTGAGCTGAAATATCAAGCGACTATATTCCAATCAAATCATTTGACTCGCTTTTGGGATCTGAGGCAAAACCTATTCCTTTGGTGTGTCAAGTTGAACATACTACTTCTACCAGGGGGTGAGGCGGTGGGGAGAAAGTTAGAATTAAAGTATAGAATTCAATAACTTAGTAAAATAAGAAATTTGGTGGTGCCATTTCATGCCTTACTCACTGCCATTGAGTTGACGCCCACTGGCAGTGGCCCTCTAGGACAGGGTGGAACTGCCCCGATGAGTTTCTGAAATGAACTCTTTACTGGAGTAGATAGCCCATCTTTCTTCCATGGAGCAGCTGGTGGTTTCAAACAGCTGAACTAATGCTTAGCAGCCCAAAGAGTAACCCCTGTGCCACCAATAAAGGTATTTTCTCCCTTGAAGCCAGGAGCAGGTTAAAACTGTCAACGTTCCAGTTAGCAAACAGGGACATTACTTCCAAGGCTCACTTTAGGGAGCTCACTGACATTGAGGCATGCTGACTCATAGCCATCCCCCATGGGTTTGTGAAACTGCAACTGTTTACAAGAGTAGAAAGCCCAGTAGAAGGCCAGCTCCCTCAGAGCTGCTGGTGGTTTTGAACTGCTGACCATGCGATCGCAGCCCAGTGAGTCAACCCTGCACCACCAGGGCTCCTTTTAGCAAACAAGGTCCCTAACCAGTTGGGCCAAACCTCAAAGACCTTGCTGCCAGCTAACCTTTGGCTAGACCACCTCACTCAGAGGGAGAAGTTTAGAGAACTTTCTATAGTCCATGTGCCC